TCTTTGCTTTTTGAGACAGGTTCTCTGTATCTTTGACCTGAAGTAACTCTGTAGACCAGGCTGTCTTTGAACTCTCAGAGATCTGCCTGTCTCTGCCTCCCAGGCATTCAGGATTAAAGGTGTACACTACTACACCTTGAACTCACAGAGATCTCTTTGTCTCTGCCTTCTAGGCACTGGGATTAAAGGCGTGTGCTACCACACATAACAACTCTCTTCCTTTTTTTTGTTTTTTACTTTAAGAACTTCAACTTTTAGTCTGCATATATTTTTAACACAGTGTAAACCATTTAAAAATTTTCTTTGTCTTTGAATCTCTCTTTACTGTATATCTCTCTTTTTTTGACCACATGAGTCTTTAATTTACCAAGCAATCTCAGTAGGACTAAAGGCGTGGCTTTGCCAGCTAGATCCAGTCCATTCCTTAGCTTTCCAGCCTCATGGCGGATATACAGGCTGTAGCCATGTTTACTGCCACAACTGTATGGCATTTCAAGGTCCCTGCCAGCAAGTGAGCTACAACAGACAACACTCAAGTCCTCTCTAGGTAGCCGGCAATCCTGCCTCAAACAGTCAGAGTTTGCCCTGGCAGGATGGCCCAGAAAGCCAGCATTTTTAAACAACAGGTTTTTTCCTGCTGCTGCTGAAAACCGAAAAGCATGTGTTCAGCTTTTCGTCAACACCATTTAAGTGTTTCGTGGCAGGACCTCTTAATGAGCTGCAGGCTTTGCAGCTAAAGCTGAGTCAGGAAGCTTCTCTTAGAAGAAAACGCATGCTTGCCTCTAACAAGCAGAGCAGACCCGAGAACACAGCAAGTCTAGTTGTCATCAAACAAATCGTAGCACTTTACTCCAAATGCTCTATTCAAAAGCTCTGTCTCCTGTAGGAGCCAGACAGAGATCGCAATGGCAGCACAGCCCCAGGAAGTCGCGCTTTAAAATGACACAGCATTTTTTCTGCTATTGTTGCCGAATCAGGAAATCTCTCTACAGCACGCCACCAACAAACAGCAAAAATCTGTGTTAAACTCTCTTTCCCTTATTTTTAAGCCTTTTCAGGTTTTTTAAGTGGGTTCAGTTGTCCACATGTCTGGGCGCCAACTGTAGTAATTGGGGCGGCAGTGCTGCGTTCTCAGCACCCCCGGCCGCCTGCCCGGCTAGCTTATGCCCAAAATAATTACACAGACACTGTATTCTTTTAAGCACTGCTTGGCCCTTTAGCTCTAGCACTTACAGGCTAATTCTCACACCCGATCAACCCATCTCTAATAATCTGTGTGTAGCACCCCAAGGTGCGCTTACCAGGGAGATTCTAGCATAGTCCATCCTGGGTCGGAGCTTCATCCCTGGAGCGGGGCATAGCGTCTCTCTCTGAGGCGTCTGCTACCGAGAGAGCTGTGGAGTCTCTGAGCTCACTTCCTCTTCCTCCCAGCATTTTGTTCTGTTTACTCCTCCCACCTATCCTCTAACCAATAAAATGGGCCAGGGCAGTGCCTTTATTAGCCAATGACCTTCCTCCATCAGATGGGCATTGAAGAAATTCCTTTTGGAGTTTGCTATCATTGTGGCAAGATTAGCTGTTTGGGAAAGAAGCTGCTCTTGCTTGGACTGCTTGACAGTATGTTGTATAAACTGGACATGCAGGACCCACAGGAAAGGGACCACTAGTGAACTTTGCCAGACTGAAAAAGGTGGAATGATCTTCAGGGTTTCTGACTCACAGAAGAACTATCAGACATTCTGCAGGTCACAGAGGAAAGTGAATGAAAAACTGCCAATATAAGTGGGACAGTCTGTCAAATTTCCTGCTTCATTGAAAAGTCTGCGAGATCGTATTGGTCTGTAGGCTGAAGATGGCCCCAACTATGCCAAGGAACTTTGGGTGACTGTCCAGGCAGTCAGATGTCTATTTCATTTCTAGACTTTTTAGAAGTCGTCTGCAATCCATTTTTTGTTTATTTAAGTAATATTATTTTCTTCTGGTGCGTTTGATGGAGTTGAAGACTAGATAGTTATAGTTTCAGTTTTCATACCTATGATAACAAGTTAGTTAGGTATAAAATTTTGGACTTGTGACCGGGCGGTGGTGGCTAAATTATAGTGCAAAACCCAATGCTGTCCATCAACATTTATTAATAGGTATAAATGGTTACATTGGAAAAGGAGGAACAAAACATCTTATTTCTAAGTAGCCATACATTTTGTGGGAGGGGAAGTAAATGCTATATTTTTCTTTATACTGGAGCTAAAAACACACAAAATTATTATACAAGATTCTTTTTCACACATTTCAGGTTGACACTAACTTTGCACTTGTTACAGAAAATATTTAAATAAAGTAATTACTCAGAGGTTTTAGCTTTTAAAATAATCTGCAGAGTCAAAATGCCATTTGTACAAACACTGAAATTTTTCTTTCACAAATTAAACTCAGGAGATATAATTATAACCTTAATTTTGACACAAACATTTTCTCTATGACGATGTGTGAGGGGTCACTGACTACGCTGAGAAAATTTATCAAGCATAGCCTCTATTTTCTAGTTTTTCTCTTTCCTATATCAACTGTTAAGTCTGTAGCTCCAAATTGCATTCACTATTTTGACTAGGAAGAAATTCTCTATCCCCATTTCGTAAATTACCGAAGAAACAGAATCTGTAAGCAGTTAAAATATTTCTCTCTTATTATTACCTGTAGTATACACATGAAAAGCAATAAAAACAAATCCATTTATTTTTCTTGGAAAGGTTGTACTTAGTCTTATCTGAACCGAAATAATCTGGACAAGGTCTGTTACTGTTCTACCACTGAAATAAGAGACCATGGTCATACTGTGTTTAAAGGGGGGGGGATTCAAATAGTTAAGTCTAAACTTAGTACTTTAGGAAATTCTATTCCCTTTAACATTAAGTAAACTAATGAGGTTGATGGCCTGGGTTTAGAACTCTCCTTGTGTGCCCACACTAGCATTGATTTTAGTGCCATTGCTTGTAGAATCGATGAGAAACATTTAAATTCTGACTGCTTCTCCTTCCTAAATATGTCATTGTCACTTGTTCGACTCCAGGCAACTAAGTGCCTTGGTTGTGGAAGTGTGCTATGGGATTGATGAAGCTGTATTTTAAATAAAATGATTAGATCTTGTATGGAAGCTCCTACTTTGGACATTATATTTTTCAGATGACCTGAGAATTCAGGTAGCTGCTTTCATATTTCTATTTGAGCCTCATCTTACTACATCTGCTGCTATGAATGTTGAGTCCAAAATTTTACCTTTCATTTTCTTCCTGTAGAATCTCCAGCAGTTTTTTTTGTTGTTTGTTTATCTTTTTGTTGTTTGTTTGCCTTTCCTGTTAGACCTTCTTGCTAACAACCCACATAGATTGTTAATAGTCCATATATTTGTGAGAAAGATGTTTTTACTATATGCTTATATATTGGTTTTGTTGGTGGTTTTGTGAGTTACGGTTGTAGTAGGTTAGTTTATCATTAAGAATAAATTTTACAGTTGGAAATGCTGAAATTAGTTTAGAACTCTTCCTTTTAGAAAGTAATCTGTCTCAGTATTGGAGCTATTTGTGATAGTCCCTCAGTAAAGTAGGGCAGCAGTTGGATTTGAATATATGAGCACTTCAGATAAGACTAAGATTATTTTGGAACAGACCCTTGCCAAATGTGTGTTGGTTCATTTTGCTCTCATAATTCCTTTTTCTGTGTATCTGAGTTGTATTCAACACCACTTCCTGCCTCCCTTGTCCTTGATTTGGCTCATTTCCACAAGAAACAGTTTTACCATCATTCACCAATACTAGGGATAGAGGTGGAAAATCGGTTTAACATAAACTACACTGTCAAAAGCAAGTCTACAGACACATTTACATTAACAGTTCCTTATTTCACATCCAGCAGACATTACACAAGAATGTAGATGGATTCTTGTTGGTGTTGACATTTAAAAAGAACAGGTGGGCCCAATGAACAGGTTTACTTTTCTACCATATAAATTGTTAATCTCCACAAGCAACACATATGATGGTAAAACTATGCTTGCTCAGTAGGCCATTGTTTAGTGGATATCAATCCCAAGATGGCTACCATATTCATCCTAAATTCATTTGAACTTGTGTTGTAATTAAGTACTCCTGGACTATGGGAAAGAGTTTGAATGTGTAAATGTAGCTTTCTTTGAAGGCAGAATTGAGTTCTATGAATCCACTAGGATTATTACATTTTATCTCTAACAGTTCACACATGCAGATTCCACTGTCCCCCAGTGGATATTGCAGCTGCAACCTGAATTAGGTTATCTGAACCTAAAATTGTGTCTGCTAGGTTTTCTTTCCAGAAAGCAATTAATTAAATTGAGGTGCTCTTTCCCCCCTATATTTAAACACCTCGGTAAAATGTCATTTTTCTGATATAAAATATTTCAAATCCAGTCTTTAATCTTAAAAATGCCTTTATATCAATGATGATTAAAACTATCCACAGTAGATAGGACCCTATAAATATACCAGCTAATTATCTTTTTTCTTGCCAATGTTTGAGCTGTAGTAACTATTGGTTAGAATGCAGTAGAAGATTTTTTTTTTTTTGGAAAAAAGTACACATCCTAAACACTAACTTTGATACTCTCAAAATTTAAAATATATAAGTTAACCAAAATATACAAACACGGGAAAGCAAAGCAGCTAAAAATTAGCTGTGACACACCCTGTAGAGTAAATATCTCATTGGCACACGTTAAAAAATTAACACATCGTTAAGAAACAAAACCTCAACAGTCCCCACAATTAGAAGTTATGGTGTCTTGAAACAAAACAGAAAGGCCAGGTCTACCTAGAAACCACAAGCTGACAATTCTTTGGAGTCCAGTCTCCCTTTCATGCTGTTCATTGTGTTTATTGAACCAGCATGGGCAGCGTGAAGCACTGTAGAGCAACAAAGACAGGCAGGTTGATTTGCCTTATCTGATCGCTGGTAGGTACTGCGGACCATATCCCTCAGCTCTGTCGGGAGATGGGTGTGAGATCCCGAGGAAAGTCAGGAATCTGTGCGGCAGCTATTGTAGCAAAGTGGCACCAGGAGCTTCAACAAGACAAGGATAAGAACAGCAAAGCAAAGGGATTAAGCACGCAACTGCATCTCTGCTGACTGGGGCAATTCTGCTTCCGTTGGTTTTGTGATGGATCTAGTATTTATAGTTACAAAAAGGCAAATTATAATAGCAGTAAAACAGAACACGAAGAATGTGGCTATAAAAGACGGAAAATAATAAGAGTTCCACTCCTTGGCGGGGGACCACGAGGGAACCATATTTGCGGTCACCTCTGAGAATGAGGAATTACAAATGTTCTCTTGAATTTCAGAACAGATGATGGTGGGGGGGGGCTTGACTTAGAGCCGAGTTGTAACTTGTTCTTCCTGTTTATCACCCCATTTGTGCATGATCAAGTCACAAGCCTCTCCCCAAGTTTCAAACACATCCTCTGATGAGTCTAAAAGTTTAGAATTTGAGGAGCAGATGCTGGGTACACAGTGAAAAGAGCTGGAACAGGCTAGGGGGCATTCACTGCTCCGAGCAGCACCCCGGATTTCACCTAACTCTACCTCACTGAGGTTCAAATCGCTTTTAGAACAGGCCTCTGCCTTCCCTTTCTCCATCTGAGAATATCTGATGTCCTCCCACATATAATGCTGCTGGGCAATGGCATCGGAGATGGTGTATATTGGCTCTGACGTAGTAGGTTCAGAGCTCTGACCATTAAACTTGGAAAATAGGAGACCCAGTTTCTTGAAAGAGGGGCCCATGAAGGACCGTTTGCTTGACGACTCTGCTTTTGACTTCTCGTGAGTACCACTGGCTCTTGGCATGGTTCTGATGAGAGGTGCCTCATGGCAGGCCTTTCTCTTGCAGCCTAAATTGAAAGAGACGCTCTTAGATTTGGCCCGTGCCCCACCACTGCCATCATTGGTATCATCCCTTTGAGAGAATTCAGCACTGCTAGTGGAAAAGCTTCTTCTTTGTTGTTTTCTGTTTCCCAAGAGGTCAAGTACTTCATATCGAAAGCTTGAGATGTCCTGTTTTAATTCCTAGCAAAAGAAAGAAGACATGTTTTGTTAGGAATAAAAAAAAAGGTCTTTAAAGAAGATACTTGGAATTTTGGATAGGCTGTTTTACATAGTAATAAACCAATAAGCACACATTATACTGTAAAAACCTTTCATTAGTTAAGCACAGAAAGACTTCTGTGACCAGTGGAAAAACTACAGTGGGTAAGGTTTATTTCAGAACCTGTGGAACAAAAACATAAACTAATCCCTAACAAAGTAATAACTGGGATGGAAAAATGGCTTAGCAGTTAGGAGTACTGGCTCCTCTCCCAGATGACCTGGGTTCAATTCTCAGCATCCACATGGCATCTCACAACCACCTGTAACTCCAGTTCTAGGGGATGCAACAACACCCTCTCCTGGCCTTTACCTGCATGAGTGCACACATGGTGCACATACATATATGCAGAAAAATGCACATATAGGCACAACACTCTCACACACAAGATGTTAAAAATAAAGTGCTTGCTCGCAAGTTATTTGATTAGAAAACTGGCTCTCCTGAGTGTCTGAAGGAAAAGGACAGCTGAAGAAGAGAAGACCTTTAGGATCCAGGAAGGAAACTGAAGAAATGAAGTATCAGGTGATGAGACAGTTGCTTGCATACTATTAACTTGTTCCTTTAGAGGTTTTCAATGTTTAAATCTGATCAAGTCATTCACATGCTTAAAATGTCTTGGTAATGTGTCTTGTCTTAAGGAAACACTATAAATACTGTATCATGGACTACAGGGCTTTTCGGTACCTGGTACCTCTCCATCTCCATTATCCTTTTTCTAACTCCCCTAGCTTCTATACTCATGAACTGACATGCAATAATAACTTAGTAAAGTGATTGGCACATTGGTCTTCAACACCTAATTTCCATCTGTGGATTAAGGTAATAGAATTCCCGAGTGCCTTCCAGGGATGTTATATATCTGTGTGTGCATGTGTCATGGATCCTGGGATAGGGTTTTTATTCTAGGCTCTACTGATATGTCTGGCAGGATAGTTTTTGTTTGTTTGTTTGTTTGAGACAGGGTTTCTCTGTGTAGCTTTGGATGCTGTCCTGGCACTAACTTTTGTAGACCAGGCTGGCTTCGAACTCACAGAGATCCGCCTTCCTCTGCCTCCCAAGTGCTGGGATTAAAGGTGTGCACCACCACCGCCCAAATTGGTAGGATAGTTTTCTATGATGGAAAGCTATCTTGTTAATTGTGGGATTGTTAGTAGCAACCCTCTTTGTACCCACTAGATGCCAGTATGACAATTTAAAACATTTCCAGATGGCCAAATGTGCCCTAACTACATAAATGCCCCTGTGTGAGAATCACTCTTTTAGGTTGATACCAAGAGTGGAAAAATTCTACTATGTAATTGTAGTTTCTTTAGACTTAAAATTTAAAAATACATATTCTGGATTTAATTGCCGATCTTTTAAAGAAGGCATTTAAGGCCTCCAGGCATTTTCTCTTTGCTGCCTTATCCCTTAGTATGCATTCTTGCTATATCAGTTAAGTAAATTATTCTCCACCCTGATATTATCAAAGGAAAGAACAGGTTCACTTTGGTAGTAAAACTGATTGTAACAGACATTGATAAAAACCTCTCAACCCCAAATTGTGTGTGGCCCCAATCTGAGACAAAAAATTATAGATAATAGTGACTATGAGGAGAAGAATGAACCTCTCCCCCAGAGATAAGTTCCCTAAATGGTTGTTCAGTGTAAAGTGATCAACACTGAAGCCATGTAAATGTAAATAACAAAAACACAAAATGATGTGGGATGTCCTTCTGTGTATATGTGTTGCTTTTATTGGTTAATGAATAATGCCATTTTGGACAATGGTTTAACAGAGTAAAGCCAGGCAGGAAAACCAAACAAAGATATATAGAGAGTAGGTGGAGTCAAGGAGATGCCATGTAGTTGCTGAAGGAGAAAGATGCCAGAACCTTTCCAGTAACCCACAGCCTCGTGGTGATACACAGATTAATAGAGATGGGTTAGTTTAAGATGTAAGAACTAGCTAGGAATATGCCTAAGCCTTTGGCCAAAGAGTGTTGTAATTAATATAGTTTTGTGTGATTATTCAGGTCTGGGCATCCAGAAAACAGCACAGTCTCTGTTTATACTCAAAAAATTGTATGTATGTGTATATATATGTATATATACATATATACATATATGAAACAAAAAAGAAGCTATGAACTATAGAGTTGGGAATATGGGAGAGATATGGAGGTGTGTAGCTGGGAGGAGCAGGAGGAAGGATGAAAAGTAATATTCTATTTCAATTATAAGCATAATTTTTTTTTTAGAAAAGGAAAAATTTTCTCCACTTACTGGATGGCAGATAATTCCAAGACAGAATAAGAATTGCAGGGACTAGAGACATGGCTTAGTGGTTAAGAGAACTGTGCTCTTCCAGAGGACCTGGGTTCAGTTCCCACTACCCACATGGTGGCTCTCAACAACCTGCTTACCACTACTCCCTGGGGCAATCTGACACCTAGACAACAAATGTGCAGGCAATGCACACACACATAAACTCAATTTTCAAAAAAAATATAAAGAATAATTTTTAGACTAATAAGACTTGTAATTGAGTTTTTCTTGCACTATATGAAAATATAGGAGAGAGAGAGAGAGAGAGAGAGAGAGAGAGAGAGAGTGAGAGAGAGAGATATTTACCCACTTCATGATTAAATTACCTTAAAGTTTTCTTCTGTTAATCCCTCATTTGTTTTGGAGTTTCTTGTCATTGCAGCCACATATCTCTTGACTAAATTTTTGATAACTTCCTGGAATTGAGAAAGCATGATGAGGTATTCAGTTTTCTGTTCAGACTATCAGGTAAATAAAGAATCCGCGCAGAAGACTCACTTAGATCATCTTTGCCATAGGAAATCCTCACTGTACCTAGAAGTTTTCTGCCAAAAAACTTAAGTTCATTGAGTTACTAAGTCATTGCATCTCTGAATTTTGGTGGCAGAGTGTGCCAGTTACCATTAAATTTACCCCAAAGGAAGAATTTCTACTCAAGTATAAAGTAAGCATGTAGTGTGTGTGTGTGTGTGTGTGTGTGTGTGTGTGTGTGTATGATGAAAGTATTATATCCCTTGAATGCTCATATTCAATTCAATATCCATTCCTCTGGGATGGATTAAACTTTAGTATTTTTAGTGAAATAGGGGGTTTTTCTCTTCATGAAGTTGGGAGTCACTAAGTGAGTTAGTAAATTTTTTGTTTGTTTTGTGTTTTGAGACAGTTATTTTTCTGTGTAGCCTGGGCTATGCTGAAACTCATTCCGCAGACCAGCCTGGCCTGGAACTCACAGAGTTCCTCTGCCGCCCAAGAGCCAGAATTAAAGGCATGTGCCATCACCACCTATCACGAGCTAGTAATTTTATGATCAAGATATGTTTTATAGAATCAACCTACACTTCACTTTTACAGGGAATGCCTCTATTAGCCTCAGGTTTAATGTTTAATGGAACACACATGGCTGCCAGGTTGGTATTGACGATTGCTGCTGCTTACTGCAATGTGCCAGGCGCCATCCCCACTGAATTTTCCCAGCCCCATAATTTAGCTTTTACTGTTATTCCTGGTTTAAATCCCCACTGAATTTTCACCACCCTGTAATTTAACTTTTATTTTTCTTCCTGGTTTACAAATGAAGAAGCTGAGGCTTAGTGTTGTTAACTGGCGTCTTCAGGATCACAGTGCTAGACAATGGAAAAATTAGATTTCAGTTCTACTTCAAGCTGATTCCAGAGTCTATAGTAATAGTTAATAATGCTGTGGCTACCGTTTCTGCTACTCGGTGAACTTCAATAAGTCAGTGAGATGCCCAGGAAATGTCCTGTTAATGATGTTTGAAGCAGAAAGTAAAAGCAATGAATCTTGCCTAGGTGTTAGCATTTTCTATCATGATTAGAGATGGAGGTAGACATAGTGAGGAAAGGGTCACCTATGAAACACTGTACTTTGTGTTGCTCATTGCTATTTGTGCCTAAGATGAATAAAATTTGGGAAACCATTTGTGGAATAAGGTTGAGTTTCCTTTCCATTAAACCTTGTAGGATATTTTTCTGTTTGGGTTTCTTAAGATAAAGTTTCATGTAACTCAAGATGTAAACTTGTTACATAGTTGAGGATAACCTTGAACTTCCGATCTTTTTGCCCCCATCACACTGTTTAGATGGCATTGGGGATCATATTCAGGGCCTGATGTGTGGTAGGCAATGAGTCTGCCACCTGAGATATGTCCCCTACTCTGCATTTATTTTGATCTAGAACGTTAAATATAGTCTTTTATCTGTGATTTTCAAAGATTACTTTCCATAAATATCTCACATATCTGTGTGCTTAGTTGTCTTCTGGTTGGTCCCATCAGAAGCACATATCTGCTCCTTTGATTAAAGTCATGTTTATAATTTAGAAAGATCTGTGTCCTGATAAAAGATTTTACTTCACTGAAGTTGCTAATAATTTCCTCATATTCTGTATTTGCTACTTATTGTGTATTCCCATTGCTGTGTGTGCTTTTTGTTCGCAGTAAGTTTTTGCCCATCTGGTCAGTTAATTTTATTAGCTTTAATGAAGTAATATCTCTCATTCCTGAAAGATGATAGGCTTCTAAGGTGTCTTGCTTTTACACAATGATTTCTCTAATGTGTGTCTTAGTGTCTTGTGTGCAATAGGTACTCATTTACTCATTGACTGAGCAACTACTCATCTGCTGCTTAATCTCAAGGAAGATAGCTTTCTAAGGTATGGCTGACTCACATCCTTATGAGGTAGTGTTAAAGGGATATCAACAGAGATATCAAGCAGTTGACTCCGACCTGATGAATTACTTCAGTCTTGAGTGAATTAGTCTTTCAAGGGTTCCTACCCAAGTTAAGTTTAGACATAGCTAGAGTAGAGTTTGCTTCTCTACTCCCACAGAACTGATCAAAAACTGTTGTGTTTAGCCCCCAATGGGTAAGCAGTACCTGATAATGTTGATTTTGGACCAGGCTATCAGCATGGCGCTCCTGTAATTCAAAATGGACAGAGAGGTTTTCATCAGTTGGCTAGCACTTAGCCATTTACCCACCCCAAGAATTTGGTAAATATTAGGATTGTAGAATGATACAATAGCTCCTCCCTGACAGATAGCAAGAACATTAGTTGGAATTATTTTATAATATTTATGATAGGAACTGTCATAAAGAAGGGGAAGGAAGAAAACAGTTTCTTGTAAAAAGAGACAGATTTTTTTTGTCTTACTGTGAAGCTTCTCAAGTTGTGTCTCCGTCTTCCATCAGGGTCTCTTTTTGGACAGAAGGTGTTATTGAACCAATTGCCAAGATACATAAATGATTTGGGACTGGGGATAATGTTGAAAGGAGGTGGCAAGGTACCACCTTCATCAAAGTAACTCATCCATAGCTTTGTTCTTGCAAATTTCCACTCAATGTCAGCATGATCCTATGAAAGACACAAATGCAAGTTGGGAGAGACAGAAAACCAGGAAATATAGATATGTCTAATTTTAGCCTCTGTAATTGCTTCTGTAGAGGACAACCCGGAAGTAGCTATATAAACTTGAATTACATATACCCTGTAAGTGCAAATCACATTGATTTGGCAATCCACTTTGAGAAATAAATCTTACTGGGCTTGGTAGTACATGCCTCTAAACCCATCTACTCAGGGAATTGAGGCGGGAGGATCATGAGTTTGAGACTGGCCTATGCTATATAGTAAGATCCTACCTTAAAGTACAAGAAAAGTTAATAGGGGTATGACTTCGTGGTAGAGCATTTGTTTAGCATGTAGAAAACCCTGGGTTCAATTACTAGAAGTGAAAAATCAAAAAACAAGATGGTGGAAGAATGAAGGATGGCATAAATGGAGGGGGTTGCAGAAAGATTATACACAGGGTTCTTCAGTATAGTATAGTATAGTGTAGTATAGTAATAACAAATCACTGTAAACAACCTAAATATTCAATAGTAGAAGGCTATTTAAATAAATGATATTTCAACAACAAAATGACTTACAATCTAATTCTAAAATATAGGTAATACTTTATGTATAGAATATATATGAATATATGCATCTGTTGAAGATCCTGAGTGTAAAAAATATATACTGTGAGCAAAAATCTCACTTAATTCAACTGAAAAATTACATATTTACATATTTTGGCAGATGTGTATATACCAAACTATAAATCATGGTTATTTTCAAGAGGTGAAGATGGGGTTAAGAAAGCTTTTTTAGTTTATAATATTGGGAGGTGTATGAGAGAACTGAATATTTTTATTGTTTACCAACTAAAGCCATTAGCAAATGGAAAAAACGATTTTTTTCCATCTTCAACTGAAGGTTCTTCTAAAATTCTTTAGTGCAACAAGGTATTTGTATGTCACTTTTCCCCAAACCAAATTCTTTGCCATTGAATTTTACAACCAGCCTCAAGCTGACAGTGGCATGCATGTTGTGAAATGTTTACATGTACTCTTGCACATGTATATGCACATGCGCACCCCCACACCCTTAAATAAATGAATAAGTGAACACAAAAGACCAAAATCTCTGTAAATAGATATTTTTCAAGGGGCTGCTGTGCAGATCAATTGGCTATCTGAAGAGGAATTGCAAACCTATTCCACTTGCTTGTGTGAATTTCAGGATGTTATTTTACATATACCATGGACTGCTTGCTTTCAAGGCTAGGGGATGATCTGTGCTATTATCAACAAAAAGGCAGCATGACTTTGAGTTTAAAATAAGCTGAAATAATATGATGGTCAAATGCAATAAATGATCCTCGATTATCTGTAAAGGACATGCTTGAGATAGAAAGGGAACTCTAAGTTAGTAACTACCAATATTAAACTTCTCAGCTGTGTTATGGTCATTGAATATGTGACACAGCATTTTTGAACAAAATGTCATGATATTTGCAACTTTGGAATTTTCAAAAAATTTAAGGCCTTTCCATTTATGCATTATGTGAAGCTTTATTTATTTCAAGGGCCATGATAGTTTAGAATTGATTGTTCATACCCATTAACTTTTATCTTAAAATAACATTAGATAAAGAGTTCCTACTGTAGGAGTTGGGCAATAGCTCAGTAATAGCATACACATTTAACTTCTAAAGACTTTGCATTCCAGCATTTCCACCAAAATACAAGACAAAAACTTGGTTCATCTGGTATATGAAATAATGGATTCTTTAAAGTCTTTTTCTGAGATAGGGACACACTTGTGGCATATTAGTTAAAGATATGTTACATTTGTTTATGCTGTGGAACGGTTGTTTAATGATGCAAAGATGTGCTGCATTCTTTATGTTGCATTTGTTTAGCTCTATGAAGCTGTGTTACTTTGCGTGCCTAAAACAACTGATTGGTCTAATAAGGAGCTGAATAGTCAATATCTAGGCAGAGAAAAGTGTAGGTGGGACTGCAAGGCAGAGAGAGTATATAGCAGAAGATATCTGGGAAGAGAAGATGGAGGATCAAGAAAAGGAGAAGGAGAAGAGGACATTAGGGGTCAGTTACCCAGGTACACAGCAAGTCATGGAGTAAGAAGTAAAGAAAGGCATATGTAGTAGAGAAAGATAAAAGTCCAAAGGCAAGAAGTAGAAGGAATAATCTAAGTCAAGAAAAACTGGCTTGAAAGAAGCCAAGCAAAGGCCAGGCACTCATAACAAAGAATAAGTCTCCGTGTGATTATTTGGGAGCTGGGTGGCAGACCTCCTTAAGAGTAAAGAGTAAAAAAAAAAAAAAACCAAAAAAAACCCAAAAACCAAAAACCAACTACACTCACTAAATAGTCTTGGCTTCCCTGGAACTCTTTTTTTTAATGAATTTTTTTAACATAAAATTAATTACTTATAATATATTTTGCATGAAAATACACTGTGACTGTAGCTGAATGAACCAATGAATGAAAATTCATGTTATGGTCCTGTAGGAGACACAAAGGGGTTATATTATGATCTGGAGTCCCAAGGAAAATTCCCACGAGAGATTTCATGTGAATGAATGATGTCAGCAACAGAAAAAAATTACAGAATGAAAATATCTAAAATGTATACAGTGTGTCCCACATGTGATGTATTCTTTTTGAATGATTTACATCTATTATTAGAATTAGGTGTTTTAGGCAGGCAAAGTAACACAACTTCACTGAGTTAAACAAATGAAGTGTAAACAAAGGCAACACATCTCTACATCGCTAAACAAAGGGTCCAGAGCACAAACAAATGTAACACACCTTAAAATAATAGTCTACAACAGGGAGAAACGAAAAGAGAAGAAAAAAGAAAAGAGAAAGAAAAAAAGCCAGATAATCAGATGGAGGAGATGCACACCTGTCTTCCAAGTGCTCAGGGAGCAGGAGAATTGTGGGTAAGCCCCACCCGTGCAACAAAGCAAGAGCCCATCTAGTCCTAGGTCTGGATTTTTGAAGACAATCAATGAAGAATGTCAATAATTATTGCTCAAAACAAATTTACAACTTCTTGTAGATAGCAATTTTATACAAGGATCATAAATAAAAAAAATCATTAAAAAATTAGTCAAAGAATTTTACACTCGGCCTACACTTCCTGGTCATCCTACAGGGGCTATACTGCCCAATACCTCCTCTCTCTTCCTATCCCATCCAGCTTACATCCAGATCCTCCCAACCCCTGTCTCCCACCCTCCCTCCCTTCTTTGGCGGCATAGCACCTCCCTGCTCAGCCTGCTCGGGCGCTGGGACCGAACCCGAATCGGGAGGGCAAAGGGGAGGGCGGTAGCTCCTTTGTCTCCATAGCCTGCCTGATGCAAGCAGGGTGGGCCCTTTGTTTGTGAGCTAACCAAGCAGCACGGAGATCCGATCTGGACACCAGGAGAAACATCACTGGGGAGTGACATCACTGGGAAGGTACATCAGTGGGCAAGAAGACCTGATCCTGTAAAAGAAGATCCATAGGGGAGTATTGGGAGGAAGAGATGGGCAGACGCCAATGCAAGAATTCACCCAACAATCTGAAAAACAACACGAAACCACCAGAAGCCAGCGACCTCACAACAGGAGGACATGAACACCTTAATCAAGAAGAAGTAGAAAGCCGGGCGGTGGTGGCGCACGCCTTTAATCCCAGCACTTGGGAGGCAGAGGCAGGCGGATCTCTGTGAGTTCGAGACCAGCCTGGTCTACAAGAGCTTGTTCCAGGACAGGCACCAAAACCACAGAGAAACCCTGTCTCAAAAAAAAAGCGCTTTTGGCTCGTCGGCCATCAGTGAGGCAACATGGGTCACCAGCAGCTCTACTGGAGTCACCCGCGGAAGTTCGGCCAGGGATCCCGCTCCTGCCGCGTCTGCTCAAACCGCCACGGTCTGATCCGGAAATACGGGCTGAACATGTGCCGCCAGTGTTTCCGGCAGTACACGAAGGACATCGGCTTCATTAAGTTGGACTAAGCGACCTTGAATGGGTTCTTCAATACTCTACCCAGTGGAAAAGATGAACGCCAGTCTTTGTACATAAGAATAAAACAAAGTGAAGACCTTCAAAAAAAAAAGAAGAAGTAGAAAAAACTGACTTCATGAAAGTGATTGACACCCTTAAACAGCATATAAAAAACGCCCTTATAGAAATGGATGAGAAGTATAACAGAAAGTTCGAGAAATTGAGTAAATCAGTGAATGATACCGTAGGAAACCAAGGAAAAACAATCAAGCAGATAATGGAAACAGTTCATGACTTGAAAACTGAAATGGAGGCAAAGAAGAAAACACAAACAGAGGGCTGGCTGGACATGGAAAATCTAGGTAAATGAATAGAGACTAAAGAAACAAGCATAACCAGCAGAATACAAGAGATAGAAGAAAGAATCTCAGATTCTGAGGATAACATAGAGAAAATAAACACACTGATCAAAGAAAACAGCAAGTCCAACAAACTCTCATCACAAAACATTCAGGAAATATGGGACACAATAAAAAGACCAAACCTAAGAATAATTGGAGTAGAAGAAGAAGAAGTGCAGCTCAACGGTCCAGAAAATATACTTAATAAAATTATAGAAGAAAACTTTCCCAACCTGAAGAAAGATGTACCTATGAAGGTTCAAGAAGCATACAGAACACCAAATAGGCTGGATCAAAAAAAAAAAACATCCCCTCACCATATACTAATCAAAACACAAAATATACAGAATAAAGAAAGAATATTAAGAGCCGCAAAGGAAAAAGGCCAAGTTACTTATAAAGGTAAACCTATTAGACTTACACCTGACTTCTCTTTGGAAACCATGAAAGCCAGGAGGTCCAGGATAGATGTACTCCAAAAACTAAGAGACCATGGATGCAAGCCCAGACTACTATATCCAGCCAAGCTTTCGTTCACTATAAATGGAGAAAACAAAATTTTCCAGGATAAAAACAAATTTAAACAATACGCAGCCACAAATCCAGCCTTAC